TTGTTTTCTGAGCTACCGGATTCTGCCCCTGGAATATTAAAACCATCGATAGCCTAACGGGCGTACGTCTTTTCCAACAGAAAATTTTTCAGTGTATTCAGCGAGAAAGCTTCGACCTCGGAGGGCTTGTCTTAAACAGACTCACGTGTCTCGGGTGGATCTGTGTTTTGGCAAGAAGCTGTCCTGGAGTCCAGGGTTTCTGGGCTCTTGGTTTAGTGTGGGGTCCTGTGTGGAAAGCGGCCCCAGGTGTGGGCAGGCTGTCCTCGTCCCCCACCCCCGCCCGGGCCGGCCCTCCTTTTTCTCTGCCATTGGAAAAGAACTCAGAGTGCGTCCAATTTTTATTTCCTCTTTAAAAACACAAGCTGCAGTTTGAACCTTGGGACCAGGAGGCAACTTTTGAAGTGGGTGTTCATTCGTCCATGTCTTCGGCATCTGCGGGACTTCATTTTTCCTTCTTGGACTTTGTTGGAATGCCAGCAAGAAGGGTTTCCTCTGTGCGGGCATCCTGGGTGTTCAAGAGACGCGTATCTCTGCCTTAGCTTTTGGGAGGAGTTTGTTCGTTTGTTGTTGGTTTCTCTGCTGACCACGCCCCTCTCTCCCGCCAAAGACCCAAAGCTTTGCGTGAAGTTCCGTGAAAGAGGCTTCCTTCCAGTCAGGAATGCCAGTGACGTAGGTGGGTCTTAGTGTGCTGCTGGGTTGTCATGAAAACCCATCTCAGAGGTGGAGGAGAGGAAGTGGGTGCCCCGTGAGTTGGGACAGTGGAACGTGGTGGCTCTAGACCATGTATGTTCACCACTTTCAGACCAGCGTGCTGGGCGACACTGAAGCTTCCCCGGAGAGCTGTAGGGGCAGTGGGAGTGGGCAGGGCGGTGGAGCTCAGTGTCCCTGTGGGGACCCGCGGGGCCGGGGGAGTGATGCTCGTAGAGAGGTGGGCGGGGGCAGTGACAGCCCAGGGACAGAAGCAAGCGAGGGAGTCAGGGCAAATGTGAGGCTGGGGCCCCCCGTCCCCTTTGGTTACCACCCGAAACCCAGTTCAGATTGGTTTAAATGACAGCTAGGCTTGCCAGGGAGTGGAAAGCAAAGAGTCCAGAGGCAGGGGCAGCCTTCAGGCGCAGCGTGTTGGGTGCTTTTTGAGCTTCTTCTTCAAGGTTATCTTGTTTAAGGCTCCTCACCCCAGGAGGTGGGGCAGGAGAGGCTGCTGGGCGAGGAGGACGGCAGTGGCTCACGGGTGACCGTTTGCATCGAGTAATTACGGAGACTTGGAGGTCAGGATGTCACTGATTCCTGCAGAAACTTGATAAACTGAGTGCCCGTCGGCCTCGTCCAGTGAAACCTGGCTGGACACCAGGCTGACCTGCAGACATTTCAGCGACACTGAGACCTGGTCCCAGCCCACATCCACGGAATTGGAGCCACAAGGCGGGAGCTTGGGAATTGGTGTTTTTAGAGCGATTTGATGATGCTGCCTCTTCCAATGGGCAGGCAGGATGGTGACCAGCTGGCCTCATCACGCTGGCTCTTTGAACCTCTTAATTTAGCATTCTAACTGAAGATTAGAAGCAGGCACTGCTCTGATCTCCTTGTCTCCAGACCAGGACTGTCTGTCTTCCAGAAACCTCCCCATTTGGAAACCTAAGTTTTGTTCATTGCATTACTTTAATAAACTAAAACATCCTGTGTCTCAAGAATTGCTCATAATACAAGTAAACCATAATTATCAAAAGGACAGACATTCACAGCAAATACAACCAAAAGCCCAGGTCCTCACACCAGTCTAGGGTGTATCTGCAGGCACTGCACTGTCCCCACCTCCGAGCCTCACAATAGTCCTGTGAAACAGCATCCGCGTTATCCCCGTTTTACAGGTGAGGAAACTGAGGCTCGGAGAGGTTAAGTCACTTGTCCACGATCTTGCAGCAGGTGAGCGGAGAAGCTGGGCTTCCAACCCAGGCTGTCTGACTCAGTAATGCCGTAGCTCAGAGACTCTGGGAGACGCTCGGACGCACTGGATGTATCCAGGGGCGTACTATAAGAAGAGTACCAAACGATGAGATACCAGTTTTTATTTTCAAATTAGCAAACACTTTTTTTTATTACTATACCCATCTCTGGTGACAGCACTTCTGTGGTGCTCTGTGAAAGAATAAATTGCCATGAACTTTTTAGAAACTGATATGACAATATGTATTATGAAGCATAAAGCTGAACCAGGAATTTTACATCTAGGAATCCATCCTAAGGGAATGATCTAAACCAAAAACAGGAAAGAAGGGGGAGGGTACAGCTCAGTGGTAGAGGGCGTGTCTAGCAAGTGCCAGTCCTGGGTTCAATCCCCAGTGCCTGCATTAAAGGTAAGTAAGTAAATAAAAACCTAATTTTCCCCCCCACCAAAATAAAAACACATTTTTTAAGAAAGGAAAGAAACAGGCAGAGACCACGGGGCAGTGAAAAGAAAGGGCAGGACTGGCTAAGGGGACACCATGCATCTGTGTACATTCGTGAGAAAGCATTAAAAATCATGCTTGCAAATTCTTAATACCAATGGGAAGTGGTTACCTTACATTAGGTGAAAAGGGCAGAATTAAAATTATCTGCACAATATCATCTAAATTATACCACCACCCCCCCAATAAGCATAGGAAAAAGAAAGGAAAGGAGGCATTGACCCCTAGGTGGTGGAACCATGTGTGATTATTTTCTCTTTTTTCAGACATTTCTCAATTTCTCAGATCTTCTAGAATGACAGGTGTTAATTTCAGAAACGGCAAGTTATTCCTTAGAAGCGGCCATCTCTTGCAGGTGAGCGTTGTCTCCGCCTCATGGCCAGGGAGTTACTGTTTGCTTCCAGGACAACAGCGCTTTCCTGGGCGTCAATTATTTTCCTGGGGCCATCGCTCCCCACC